CAGAGAAGGGGGGGTCTCGGGGCTCTGTTCTTCCCCAGCCCTATGGGAGCCCTTTCGGGGATCTGTGCTCCCTGCCTCAGTTTCCCCCTGTGCGATTCCAGAGGGCAGTGCCCTGGGGGGCTGGGGGGGGCTGATTGCAGACCCCCCCACCCCTTGGGGTCCAACTGGGTGGTCCATCACAGTCCTGTTTCTTTCCCACTCACGTCTGGGTGGTGCGTTGGGTGGTTTTGGGCTGAGAGCAAGTGATTTTGGGGCTGAGCCGTAGCGAGGGATGTCGCTGACCTTGCCCTTGTCCTTGTCCCCTCTCCAGCTCTGGTGGGACAGGGCTTGCCAGGGACATGATGCTGGTCCTTCTCTTCCCATAACCACCTTTCCCAAGCAGGACAAGCTCCTTATTTCTCCTCCACCTCCCTTTTGAGGATGGATCTTTGGTTTTATAACCCTGGCCCCACGTCTTGGCTGTACCTCGGTGTTTTGGAGGGGTTTATGGGTGGTATCTTGTGGGTTTTATGGACACGAGGTGTTGGTGGTGTCCTGCCCGTTGGCTTCCCGGTAAGGATGGACTTGGGCAGGAGCAACCTACAACCCAAACTGGGGAACGCGCTTGCAGCTGGGTTTTTTCACACACCACCCCACCCCCCCCCGAACAGGATTTCCCGCTCCCCAAAACAGGATTTCCTATTCCTGAACCTTGGCCAGATCGAGAGGAGGAGGCTGCATGGAAGAGGAGATGCTACGAGATACCCAGGCAGGTGAGGAGGAATTCGCTTGACCTTTCATCCTCTCTTCTCCTCCATCTTTCAGCCGAGCGTAGGACAGCCCCGTTGCTGATGCCGTCCTCCTGGAGACGGATCTGGGAGGATCTCCTTCCCCTTCCCTCTGGCACGGATGCAAATCCCTTTCCTCTCCTTGTTCCTCCCTCCAGCAGGCGATGAGATGGAGAACAGGGAGGAGAAACTCCACCGGCAGAACCTTGCGGAAAAGGCTGTTTTGAAGGGCTCCATGGAGCAGGGGGTCAACGGGGAGGAAAAGCCAAGAAGATGCCCCACGGGGAGAGGTTGCAAACCCACCCCACGAAACTCTGAGGAGGAGAGACCGACCATCTGCGAGGAATGTGGCCGGAGCTTCAGCCGTAGCTCCAACCTGGCAGTCCACCAGCGGTTGCACGCCGGTGAGAAGCCCTACAAGTGCTTGGAGTGCGGGAAGAGCTTCAGCCGTAGCTCCCATCTCATCACCCATCAACGTCTGCACACCGGGGAGAAGCCCTACAAGTGTCCCGATTGCGGGAAGAGCTTCAGCGACAGCTCCACACTCATCACCCACCAACGCTTGCACACCGGCGAGAAGCCCTACAAATGCCCTGATTGCGGGAAGGGCTTCAACCAGAGCTCCAACCTCACGTCCCACCAACGTACCCATACCGGGGAGAGACCCTACAAGTGCCCCGAGTGCGGGAAGAGCTTCAGCGTCAGCTCCTACCTGATCCGCCACCAGAAGATCCACACCGGGGAGAGACCCTATAAGTGTGAGGAGTGCGAGAAGACGTTCAGCCAGAGCTCCAGCCTCGTCATCCACCAGCGTGTCCACACCGGGGAGAAGCCCTATAGATGCGTTGACTGCGGGAAGTGGTTTAGGAATAGCTCGGACCTCATCAGGCATCAGCGGACACATACGGGTGAGAGACCCTACCGTTGCCCCGACTGCGGGAAGAGCTTCAACCGCAGCTCCAACCTGATGACCCACCAACGCATCCACACCGGGGAGAAGCCCTATGAGTGTCCCGAATGCGGTAGGAGCTTCACCGTGAGCTCTGCCTTGATTAAACACCAAAGGACCCACCGGGAAGGGAAGCCCTACGAGTGCCCCGACTGCGGGAAGAGCTTTATCCGCTGTTCAAATTTCATTACCCATCGGAGGACCCATGTTGGGTAGAGACCTGGTGACCCACGTTTGGTAGAGACCTGGCTGGTGGTCCCCACATCTTCTCGATTCCCCGTAGAGACCTGGATGAACGCAGGTAGGAACATCCATTTGCTGAGATGGGCTCAGCTGTGGGACGGAAACCAGCAGCAGAAGTTCATTAGGAAGAGCGGACTTCTTGACTTTAGACTCCAAAGAGTCCCATCTGCTTGGTCTGGTCATTTCTTCTGGTGGCATCAAGCAACACCAGATGGACCACGGGCTTCCTCCACAGCCCAATGGTGAATGGATTTGGGAACAGACTGAGATTTTGGAGGCACCGCTGGGGACTCAGCTTCTTCAGGAAGGCCAAAACGGGGTGGAAACAGTCCCACAACCCTGTTGGGACCCACCAGGTCGAGTTTTTCCTCATTTACAGCTTAGGTTGTTTTTTTTTTTTCCACGGGATGTTATCCAGTGGCATGGTGTCCTGTCCTGCCCGTCTGTGGTTCGTCTTTGGATGAATAAACTCTTGAGTTGTCCAAAGGGCTCCGGCAACATCTTAGGGATGGAGATGGGCACAGCCCAACTCCACGTCCTGCTCTTGCTCCCTTTGTGCTGCCAAAAATAAGCAAGAACTCGGCTGCAATAAACTTTTCCTCCCTCACCTCCTTGGTTTGGCCTCGTTGAACCCAAAACTCCTCGTTTTAATCCAGGCGAGGGCTCGACCATCTGCAGGGTTGAGTTTTCCCCAACGGTGCCGCAAGGATGGGAGCGGTGGGATAAATCCGTGGGTGGGTGGAGGGCGAGGAGGACACGTGGGCTCGTGGCGTCCACGTTTTGGAAGGATGCTGCACCCCTGTGATGTAACCATCGGCACCTAATAAACTTCATCCGTGGTTTGGTTTGAACCTTCATCCTTGTCCAAAGGAAACGGAGGGGGATGGAGAGCCCGATCCCAGCTCCAGGGTCTCCAGCCCAGCCCCACCACCCCTGCAGCCACTTCCTGGGGGGGGTGTCTCACACCCTCTGGGTGCAGAAGATGCTCCCGGCCCCCCAAAATTGGGGAATTTTTTCAGTTTTCCCCTCCAAAAAGGGCTTTTCCACCCATGCAACCCTTGCTTCATCACCACCACAGAGATACTCACACGATGCCAACGCGCAAATACTTTTATTTCGGATGTGATTTTTCTCTCAATCCATCCCCACCCCTTAAAAAGACCCAAAAGAGGTTTGAAAAATTAAAGAAATTGAACTGAGACATCTAGGAAAATAACCCATTTTACCGTGATTTCTTTTTTCTTGGGTGAAGCTCATGGGTCTCCCCGCCCTCCCTTCCCCTCATCTACAATCTAAGGCAAAAAAACAGAGGATGGGGGGGGCTTTTAACACCCCCCCCCAAAAAAAAAACCCCACTTTTATATATAAAAACATAT